CACCGGCAAGCAATCATAATTCTCCAACCATTCCACTAACTCTATTCCCCATCTTTTCTTATACCATTTTTGCTGTTCTAAAAAACTAATCGGACTGGTTGAACTACCCGCTCTTTTTACTAAACAGGGCTGACAAATTAATCTATTATTCTCATACAACCTATAAGCATCCACTTCTTTACTGCCGCACTTACAACCCCGGTAACTCTTTAAAAGTTGTAGTTGCCGTAATCTCTTTTCTCGGTCTATTTGCTGACTGGCTAATACTTCCTCATAGCTACTATATTCCTCGGCTTTTTGCTGTTCGCTCTCATAATAACACCAGCAACAATAACTCCTTCACTCACTATCTCAACCAGTTAAAAGATGGCATGGCTTCACTTGCCGACAACCCGCACAATAATAACTCTTAAATTGGTGCTTTTGCTGATTGTTTTCTTTTAAGTTTTGGTTCATATGGCTTTTTCTCTATCTTTCACCCCTTTAAAAAAAAGAACCAAAAAAAAATTTATCCGAGATTAATATTTCCTAAGTCTTAATTTATCCCTTTTCCTTTATCAACTTCCTTTTTAATTCCTTTATTTTTTTTACTTACTTATATTTCTGTGTATTTAATTTTCTTATGGTAGAAATATAATATATTTTAGTATTTTACCACCGCCTATTGTGGTGGAGGATATTTTGGGGGGTTTTAGCCTTTGGCTAGGGGGAAAATTTTTTTTTGGTTCTTTTTTTTAAAGAGATTTACTTCTTTTTTGCTTTCTCCTTTTCTCACTCTTTTAGAAAGAAATCCAAGTTTTCTTCAATTATCCTTTCTATTTTGCCTTTTTCATGAGGGTTAACCTGACCTTCAATGGCTTTTAACTTTATTTCGTCCTCTGATATTCAGAATGATATTTCACCACGGGAAGCCTCAACGTGAATGTGAGCTTTCTTATACTTTGACATATCACCAACTTTGAAAAAGCAGTAATAGCCTTTTATTTTTCAGGTTGGCATTAGCAAGAAGCATCAAAACCTCCAATAAACTTCTCTACTCCCAATACTTCATTGATTTCTGGGAAAAAGATATTCTTTCCTCTTCAAATTTCATACTTTTTCAGCTTGCTAGCACTAACATTTTCTACTCCTCACTTAGCAAATCAGTCAAGCGGAATACTTAATTCTCTACCATCATTTAATAGAGCCGTTAATTTTTCTTTATGAACTGTAAGACTGATTATTTTGATTTCTGCTTTTATGGGGAGTATTGATTGTTTTACTTCTCTTTTATGAATATTAGTTCGCATATTAATTGTTTTTTCTCAAAAAACCCTTTACAACTAGTTTGTTGTATTTACTCAACAACCACACAATCCGAGCAATAAATGTAATGGTCGTTTATTTCATTTAGATTACGAGCATAGGAGTAAGTAGTTTACTGCTCGTATTCCTCACCACATTTATCACATTAGATAGCGGTATTACTAATAATTCAATTAGGGAACTGGATTATTAGGGGGAACCTAGGGAGGGTTCCCCTTTTCTGAACCATTTACTTTATAATCAATGAGAGGTTTAACGTTACTTATTAGGTGGTTGCTCAATGTTACTTTTTTTTTTCTTCAAGTTCATTATAACCAAAACTGAAATTAATCCTACTATTGCTAATACTGTTCCGCCAACCACTAAACCGGTTAGGAAGTTATTATTAGAGTTATTTGGTTTAGAATCAACACTGATATAACTCGCAATTTGTTCTAATTTCTGTTGATTTTGCTGTAATCTTTCTTGCTTTTCTGAACTAGTTAGAGTTTGGTTATTTTTTAGTTGTTCGTTTTCGGCTTTTAAGCGGTTGATTTCAGTAATTAATTGTTCTTTGGTTCAGGTTTTATAATCAGTGTTGCTGTCGTCATCCTTTTTGACTGACTTTTTTTCTTGGTTTTCTGAACCTTTTTTGTCTTCCTTACTTTTTGAACCAAAAATTTGTTCGCTAAATCAGGGGTCATCTAGCATTTCCTTCGCGGATAGTTCTTTAAACTCTATATCTGCAAACTTATCTTCTTTTTTAAAATCTTCTTCGCTTATGTTTTCTAATCGTTCTAACTCTTTTTCAATTAATTTTGGAGTATTTATTGGGTCTCACGGTTTAGCATTTTCAAGATAGCGAACATCTTTTCTAGTGTGTTCTTGAACGAACTCGATAAATGCCCGTAATCTGTCGGTGTAAAAATAAACTTCTTTTTCAGTTTGAAAACTATTTATCTTTTCTTGTCAATTTTTTCAGTAGTCAGAGGAGGACAACCAGTCCTCCCAATGAGCGTGGTAGATTTCTCAACGGTTCAACTCATCTTTATCTTTAATAAAAGCAATTGAACCACCTTTAGATTTTTCAAGACCTATTTTATGAATGTTTTCTTTATTCATGATTAATTAGAAATTAAAAATCAGATCAACTAATTCGCCCATAAGTATTTTCATTACTCCTTATATAACTTTTTGCTTCTTCTATACCCTCATTTCTACATTTTTCTTCAATTCGTCTCATCTGATAAAGGTCAAGCATTAATAATTTTATCTCTGGGCTACCATCAAATGAGGCTTTAAAAGTTTCATAAGCCGGTCTTTCATCTTTCACATATATTCAACCAAGGCAATTCCAAACTACATGTTTATCACTGTTCTCATAAGAACCATTTTTATTTGCTTCAAAACTTCTCTCATTTACTCCACCCACACTAGGTCAATAAGGAAGAACTCTGTAATATTCATTCCATATAT